CAATGCTATAATAATGAACGAGTGGCGGTCATCCTACTGCTGACCATCCCGACGTGTGTTTTCATCTATGCATGGGGAGTTATTGTTTCTCAACACTTATCTTTCTGGCTTTTTTTCCTTTAAATTCGTCTGGAAATTTTGCTCGTCTGGGAACTTTAGCCTGGAAATTTTTGCTTTCGAAATCAATTCCAAAGATTGTTTGCAGTGTATTGTCAATGTTTCGCCTTTCTACCTTTATTTATCCATAGTTAAAGAAGCACCTAAAAAATTGAAATTTAACAAAACCGCAAAAAGCTAAAATGCCCTTCCTGCTTCACTGGATCGTCCTAATCATTGACAAAAAATGTATAGAAAGGAATGCGAAGATTCGAGTTTAGGGGTGAAACACAGCCATGCTTCTTTTTACATACAGCTCTTTACATGACTTTTTCACATGCCACTCTGTTTTTGTAAATATGCGCCACAACAATCTTGACTTTTTTTTTTATTTTTTATTTTTTTTCACTACCTCACTGGATTCTGGACGACCACCGTCCTACCTCTGGTTATTCCTATTGTATGTAGGGTAGGTGCGTCCCTTGCCGGTCGTTACCCTGCTCTGAATGGGCCGTGGTTCCTGGCCCTGGTTACTACCCTCTTCCTTTCCCCTACAGAGCCTTTGAGGCCCGTACTGCCTTTTACTTTGTAGAGATGATATATAAATAGTAAAGTATGTAGAGATGATGTATAATTATAAGCGAAACAGGAATGTTTCGATCCATGAAGTCGTACACATTCATATTCAGCGCCACAACTGGATCTCGTTAGTATGACGATTTTTTTCTAATCCATATAGATGATGAAATATCTTAAATACTAGAAGACGGCTTTGCAAGGATTTTTTTATCACTTAGTTTTTTATTAACACTATCGCCTTTACATTAACGTGATTTTTTATTCGATCTTTTCCCCTTAAATATTGTGAATTAGCCTGTCTGTATGGAGCCCTCTAGTCTACTGATAAAGAAAAGTCCCATGTGATAAATTTATCAGCTTTTTGGCATGCAACTGCAATTGCATGTACTTAGCTTGTTCCTTTATATTTTCCTTTCGTCTTCTGCTCGACTTTTATCTTGTATGTATGTATGTATGTATGTATGCATGTATGTATGTATGTATGTTTGTATGTATGTGTGTATGTATGTGTGCATGTGTGTATGTATGTATATATGTATGTACGTATGTTTGTGTGTACGTATGTATGTGCATGTGTATATGTGTGTAGGCTCGTATGCATGCATGTATGTACATACGCATGTAATTTATGATAAGAAAAATTCTTTATGTATGTGCATGTATGTATGCGTGTGTGTGTGTGTCAAAAAATCAAAAAAAAAAAAACTGTTTGCATTGGTCTCTGTTTGTGTTTATCTGTGTTTCACATTGTATATGTGTGTGTATGCGTCTGTCTGTCTGTCTGTCGTTTGGTCATTGTTTGACTCCGATTCTGAAAACATCTGGGATTTCGTTGTGCCCTTGTATGCTTGCATGGTGGACCTGTTAAACGGTGTCACCTTGAACAACATCCCGCGGGGCCAGGGTGCTCAGGCATGTGGTGATGTCTAGCCCAAGCTCCTCTTCTACGATTTGTCAACCCCGCTTTTCCCTCCATCCCCTCCCCTTCCCCTCTTTGCCCCTCATTCTTCGTTTGTACTCCATAAGTGTACCATATGTTCGGAAGCTATCAAATTGTTGCTTTGTTTGCAATTGACAGGAATTACTTGTTTGCAATTGACAGGAAAAAAAAAAGGTGGGGAGCGGAGGGAGCGGGAGGGGGGGGGCGGGGCCGGTCGTGCCAGATGTTTTTCAGGTCCGGCTGAGGGAATCCTCAGTTACGGGGAATCCTTAATCCGAATGGGTTATCTAGTGATCTGTAAATTTCGTAGAATTATTGGCTCCAAGGAATCCTTAATCGGGCGAAGTGTCGAGCCAGCTCAAGGTTTTCTTGGGTCTAATAATTTTGCGAAATTTACGGATTCCTAGATATTGGTAGATTCATTCGGATTAAGGATTCCCCCGCAACTGAGGATTTTTCGGAACAAAATATCCTTGGATTCGATTGTGCCAAATTTGCTTGGGTTTCCACGGTTGGGTTGAGGGATTTTGCCGGGAATTCTTAATTCAAATGAATCACCATTATCCAGGGATCCGAAAATTTCGTGGAATTATTCGCCCCAAGGAATCCTTAACCGGGCAAAACCTCGAGCGATATTAAGGATCTCTCAGAGCTAATAATTCACCCCGGCCAAAAAAAATCTGCGGATTTCCGGATACAGATAATCCATTCGGATTAAGGATTCCCCCTGCAACTGAGGATTCTTCGGAACTTACTATTCCCGGCATATCTTGACAACGAATTTTGTTTGCTACTTCATTATTCCTCCTCCAACGAATGCTATCCCCCCACTCCCCCCCCCCCCCCCC